CCCCCCCCCCCCTGAAGCCAAATACTTCTCAGATCAAACTTCAGTGAGTGGGTGGAACCTGTTCTTCTATTTCCCCCCTCTTAACCTTTCTAAAAATACTCTAATCCACCCAAAGAAGCTATTTTAAGAGGTTCATATCCATGGCCATGCAGAGGGGAAGCTTGTGTTTGGCATGCGTGCATATGTCAGGTTCCCATGGTTCACATAGTTAGTGCTGTCTGCTTTTTAGTTCAAGTCACTCTTTGCAGAGGCTAAAGAGACAGCTTCTGGACTTTGGGACCACAAGCTTTGGAATCCGCAGGCTGAGTTTCTACATGTAGGAGAAGGAGAAAATGCTGTTTTGGAAATGTTAATGCCTGTCTGAAATAAATTCCTTTCGGACATCTGCACGCCTGTTCTCAGTATATTGGATTGGATTTCATAAAACCTGGCTGTGATTTCTCTCCAGGGACCTTAATGATCTTGCCACTTTCAATAAACATTTATAGAAACTCTGCCAGCCTGTGGATAAGGGAAACTCATATGAAAGTCTTTATCTTCCAAAAATACTAAAAAAAGGAAAAAGAAATACCCCCAAAAACCTCACCAGAAGATTAATAGGAAACTGTCAAGATGTAGTATTCAACTGATAACTAAAATTGAATCACGGCACAAAGCATTGCATTACAGACATACTGCTGATGCATTTGGGTCTCCTGTTTTGAAAAAAAAATGCAAACAGATTTTGATTGTGAAACTGGGACCAATAAAACAATGGGTGAGAAAACCAAGGAACTTTAAGGGACAAGATGGAAATTAAGGCGATAAACCCTGTTCAGCGCTCATGCCATCTGGGAACAGAACTGCATGGTACTCATGTCTGCACCTCTAAGAAATTTCCATTTTTTCGCATAAAAAAATCCAGATATGAAGCCGAAGCTGCCTTCTTCGCCAACCTGAAACTGTCTGACTTCAACATCATTGACACCCTTGGAGTTGGAGGTTTTGGAAGAGTTGAGCTGGTAGGTAAACAGTTGTCTTTGAAAATGCATTTTAAATCTCTGTTTTGGTATTGTTGACTGTTGGCAATATTGAGGGGGGAAATAGGATTTTGTAGTTATTGTGTCTCAGATACATTACGGAAGGTAGGATTGCAAAAGTCAGTTAATAAAAAGCTGTGATAAATTTTTCCGTCGATTAAAAAAGAATACATCTCAGGAAACCCCTGTCATTTGCTTGATAACTCTGGATTTAGCATTCTCCAATGTATTTTCATATAAAAATGCCGCTGCAGCTAGAAAAAATTCATACAACCAACTTACTAATATAAGACCTCATTGGTTCTCATGAAATTTCAGAGGAAATAAAAATGTCACTTATTATTGCTATTACGATAAAAAGACTTATTTTACAATTTGAATTATAAAATTAAACTAGAAATCATGTTGGTGGGAAAATATTAAACTCTTGTGCTGGGTAGATGTTTATATAGAATAAACACATAAAATGTGCAATATTATTAGCTGAATGACTCAGTTGTGAGATCATGCAAGCAAGATTTATACTAGCAAGAAGGACTCCCTGGTAAATGACACCAGGCGGACTCCTAGGAACTCCTTTAAGTTATGTGCAATGCAGTAAGCACATTTAACTGTGCTGCCTTTGCAGTAAGAAAGGGATATCCCTTCCATGAAAGTCAGCAAGTGGCATATTAACTACATCTGCTCAGAATAGATTTACAGGTTGCGACACAATCCAAGCAGCACACTCAAAATGCTTGCAAGGTTCTTTCAGCAGTCAGTGGCCAATATCTGAATAACTGTGCAACTGATTTCATGGAACCAGCAAAAGGATTCAGAACAGATTGTGGTATGGCATTGGGGGCCTGCTGTTCAGCCAAAAGAAATAAGAAATCCTAAGGGGCAAAGTGAGAGTACCTAAAGTAAATCCAGCCTAGTGAATTGCAAGCAGCTTTTGGCTCTGTTCAAAATCAGCTCAACATTTACAAGTGTTTTTGATGAGCATTTGGGAAAAATTGGTCAGTTTCCAATAATTCTCTCCCTAATCCTGGCATGTGCATGCTAATAGTGTTATTGCTATTATCACATCCTCCCCTGGGAAATGTTTGTTGGACTGGTAGCACACAAATGATTGTTACAGCAAATGCAGATGCTGCAGCACTATGGCTCCCCCTGTTTGTTTGTGCAGCCTTGCATTGTCCCTTTCTAAACAATAGCAGTCAATGAGAATTGTATTGAGATTAAAGGAGTAATACTGAAGGACTTCTGCTCATATAGCTGGGTGTGACCGCATGCCTGCACAGACCCTCACTGAATATTCTGAGCTAGAGAAGAGCTTTTGAGGCAAATGGTGCTTGATTTGTAATATACAGCCAGGGGCATTATGAGCTGGATAAATGCATAAACTGGGTAATTGCAAACTTTTCTGCCATATCTAGTTGGACCTCAGCCAGTTTCTTTTTTGTAAATGCTTTTTTTTTTTTTGCTCCTTAATTTTTTTGCCAGCATCTCTTATACCAAACTGTATTCTTGGTGAAGTTTAGAAACCTGTGTAGTGCTTCCAAAAGACAGCCGCTGATGGGCACAAAGGTTTGAATTACTTTGGTCTGGTGCACATGCAAAATACTGAACTGTACCTATAGTTTGCATGCAATAAACAGCAATTTATTCCCAGTTTATTGTGTGTTTCATAACTAGAAGTGTCATGCTTTCTGGCAGCTATTGTGCAAAACATTGCCTGGGATCATAGGATATTATTTGCTGCAGTCAGAAAGTTGCTGGTAGTCAGTCATTGGGACTGGCCAGCAAGGTAGCAGGATCGTGGTCTGAGGCATGCGCAACAAAAGCTAGACATTGTCATTACCACAGACCTTCAGTTGGACCCAGACTAAATTGGCAATTTCCACTGATCCTCCTTTCCCACTGCAGACCCCCTCATGTCATTCCTCAGATTCCCTTGTCCTGCAGGAGCAATATTTGATTGAGACCTAGGGTTGCCAGGTCTCACCTTTGCTGCAGCAGGGGGCTCCTGGCTCCTTGACACCAGTAGTGATGTCATCATGCTATGGCCACTGCATGGTGACGCTCTAGTGTTCGGGGCAAAAACTCAATAGTAACTATAGAGTCCCCCCACGAATGCTAGAGTGTCACCATGTGACAGCCCTAGCGTGATGATGTCACTACTGGTGACATCATTCTGTCAGCTGCATCCCTGTGGGACACTGCTGTTTGGGGGTGGGGCTTCCCCTGCTCATTCCTAGACAGTTCTGATTCACCGCTCACTAGGTCAGAGCAAGGCAATATGGCCTCCACATCAGAGAGGGTGTTCTTCCCCCAATCATATTGCAGGCAGGGAAGGAACTACAGGATGTAGAGGAGGACAAAGCTAGTGCTCCAATGTTTGCACTAACTGCCCCCATGGGCCAATTTAGAATCTTGCCTGGAACGACGATAACCGTTTCCCAGAAGATATGACAACAGCAACTGAAGAGTGTGCTGTTGGATTCTTACAAATCACTCCAACCTTGGATGTGCTGAGTCAGAGATTACTTCTTCAATATGACTGCACTCCCAGAGACATCTGGTGAGATTTCCACATGTGGGAACTGACCCTGTGTTTCATCCATGGACTGTTTCTGGAAAGTGCACATGCACAAATAAGAAAAAAGTTTATGGGTTGAGTCATGCTTGCCAAGATGCCTTATTTTCTGTAGTTACCAGATATGACGTGTATATATTCATATTTTAGGGTTGTAAGTGCTATGATTAAAAACTGCTGTGTCTATGTTTCAGACTAAATACTTCCTAGCTGACCATCAGGAATGGATAGGCCACATCTGAATAGATGTTCAGATATGGTCTGTTTAAGTACATGGATGGTGCTGCAGATACCTTAGTTGTTCTGAGAATGTATTCCCTGAATTGATTTAGATGCAGGTACATGTCCTTTAGAGGAGACAGTCTGTTATCTAAATAATTTTCATTTCTAAGAAGATTAGAGTGGAATTTGTGGTGGGGGGTGGGGGTTTCTTTAGCTACAAAAAGCCACATCATTGTAAACAACGTTATAAAACATGCACAGTGGGAAATGCTAATTGCCATACACAGTACTGGGGTCTCTCCTGTGTCATTTGGTTGTCTTTATAAGTTAACAGACATTTCTAGTAGTATTACTATTCATGGAGTTTCCTGGCTTTTTTTAGAAATCTGACCTTAGCCTCATTATCTCTTGGTGTTTACTACTGTTGCCCTTGTCTTCGTCTCGTGGTCAGTTCATCCATAGGGAGTTTGAAAAGAGAGACAGAAGAAGAACCATGTTCATTTTTAATGCAAAAGACTGCAAAGGGCTTGGGTCTGAGGACAGGTAAATTACAAATCTCTCTGCTCACATTTCACCTCCACTAAGCCTTCACACAACGCCAAGAGGGAAGCTGCTATTGCAAACGAAAGGGAGAACACTCTTGGCTTCTGCTGCCATTTCAGTCTCTTTACAGAATGAAACGTTTTTCAGCTAAGATCCCATATCTGTTTTACAATACCTGTAAAGGTGAAGCTTGGGTTTAGATAGGGTTGCCAGCCTTCAGGTGGTTGCTGGAGATCTCCTGCTGTTACAACTGATCTCCAGGTGACAGAGATCAGTTCACCTGGAGGAAATGGCCGCTTTGGAAGATGGACTCTATGGCATTATACCCCATGGAAGTTCCTCCCCTCCCTACTCTCCGCCCTCCACAGGCTCCACCCCCCAAATCTCCAGATATTTCCCAACCTGGAGCTGGCAGCTCTTGGGCTAGACCAAAGATGGTCAAAGTTACTAAGAACTGTGAAGGGAAGCAATGGAACATGGGGAAAGGAAGAGGAATTCTGATTTCTTTCCCTCTTACAGCAAACAGGACAACCTTGGTGAGGGTCTTTTAAAACCCACTGCTTGATCTCCAAGATGGGACATCATTGTGTAAGCATAGAAGTATAGAAGAAGGCAAAGCTAACTGAGGTAGAAGGAGATACAGTAGTTATATAAATTCAAATAACTTAATACTTGCATCTAATAGAGACACTTGCCACAAAGAAGGATGGTTTAAAATCAGTATCTACATCTGTCTACATCAGCGTCAGAGGTTAGGAGCCTGGGAGTGCTCCTGGATGCCTCTTTAATGATGGAGGCCTAGGTAGCAGCCACTGCGAAGTCTGGAATACAGAGAGTACTCCATCTTTCTGTGTTATACCTCTGAGGATGCCAGTCACAGTTACTGGCGAAAAGTCAGGTTCTACAATGTCAAGACCATGGCCACACAACCTGGAAAATCTACAGAAACTAATCTGCTTTTACCATCTGCGGCTGATTAAGCAGGGGGTTCCCTTCCTTGAACGCAATGACCTGGCAACAGTGATCTGGATTTCTGTAATGTTCATAAAGCTCATTAGATATGCTAATGAGCTCCTGCAGCTCTTTTTCTACGAAATGACCCCTGCTTATCAGTATTGTATTGGATTCAATTCAAGGTACTGGTCATCACCCACGAGCCTTGCATGGCCTTGGGCCCATGTGCCAGCAGGATGGCCTCTCCTACTATGCTGCAGCACATGATCTTCACTGGTCTGAGGAAAGCCTCCTGAGGGCATCACGCTGCAAATGGACAAGATCTGCAAGAGCCCATACACGTCCATTCTCTGTTGTGGCTTCCATTCTGTGGAATAGCCTGCCTGAGCAGATTAGGAAGGTTCCCACACACACACACACCCTTCTATCATTTCACATAATGTGCAAAACAAAAAAAATCAGGATGGCGTTTTTATAAAGGGATTAGGACTGTAGTACAATGTAGCAGCTCAGAAGGATGATTTTATTAGGGAATAGGACTGTAATCTATTGCAGTGTTTATTGTATGTATCACCTTGCATGTACTTCATTGCCTTCTGCATTGTGGCATGCCATGCCTTGTAATGCTAGCCCTATGGCATAGTTTATTGGATTCTCTGATTGAATTGTGGGTTTTTTTAAAAAA